GAATATAGATCACAATTAGAATATAGAAAGGTAAGGGATATTCGTTGCGTTCACCTTTGGATTTTGGAGTTCGAATTAAATAAAAATGGTTACTTCGTATATACTTGTACAAGATGTTCACTTCATTTTATGATATATTCTTTGAAAAGTGAACCTTAAAACGATATCCTTTTTGCCATCTTGATTTTAATATCTAATGGTGGTCGAATTTTATGTTCCACTATTTTATGCTCCAATTATTACGCACGTAGTTTACTAACTGTTGTAAGTCAAATACATTAAGTTAGATTTGTCAATTGTTTTTTCAACCTATTTAACTTCTGAGTTACGTATGTAAAAGTAAATTACACGTTTTTGAGGTATAAAAACACCATATGCATTCCTCGATCTCAAGTGCTTAATCAGTTAAAATTACGGTGGAGTGCAATTTGTCCTTGAATTGTAACAATTAGTAAACTACGACGAGTAATTACCACATATCGACACTACACGAACGAAAGTGAAACTTTGCCTGAACCACAACCATAACCGTACTTGGGCTTATATGCTAGGTTCATTCATCTTATGGCCTATAAAAACCCAGTAATAAAGCTGGGCCGCTAGTATGGGCCTAAAAAGAAAGAAATGGTGGCCGAATTGGACCTTTAAATTGGTGATAGCAGCATTTACCAAAAATAAAAAAAGGGATAACAGCAAGCACAGCGACCTAATCTTCGCCCACACACAAGCGTGCTTTCAATTTCCACACCAGCCCTATTGTGGATATAATTAGAATGAACAGTATCAGAAATTTTTCGTTAAAGTTTTCTATATTAAATTCATCGAAACTCCGGAGAGGGTGCTTCTAACATAAATACTAGTAAACTGTTTCGGTCAACTTTGCGTAAACTTTGATCTAAATATTGTCCAACCAGTCTGTACATTTATAAATAAATAAGTACCAAATTAGTATCTTTTTATTTTCTAGAAATATAACCATAGATAAGCATAATTTGAAAATGTGGAATTCAATTATTTACAAATCTCGTAGTTTAGAGCCAAAGGATTGTGAAATTCGGACCGTTTAAAAGATAAAATATCTGAATTTTTAATTGTGTATGATAAATTAATAAAATAAACTAATAAAAATTATACAATTTAAATTAAGTAGTTCGAATTACTCGATTCATCGGTGCCTGACTGCAAAGTCGATTAAGAATTGTGTAGCTATTATGGCTTGAACTGGACAGGGTTGATGTGACAACACAAATACAATTAGGGTTCATCATTGAAATCCAAACCAAACTTCAGCTCAACCAATCAACTAGTTCACTTGGACTTATTGAGAGCCAAAAGCAACCCTTCACTTGGAACCCTGGTTTGAACTCGAAAGAGCAGGGGTTCAATTAATTTGGGTTAAAATGTGCATAAAAATTCGCCAATTAGGGTTTATCTGCCAAATAAAAGACATATACATCTCTATCGTTCTCTGTTGAATCTTGTATGCAGAGGCAGAATCCGCAGGAGATCAACTGTGGGTTCCAGTGACGTGATTGGATGGATCGTGACTCTTTGTGCATGCATGGGATCCTCAAAATGTAGGCCCCTTCTCCCTGCTGACCTGTACCATAAACCATCATCCAGATCCTCACGATCCTAATAAATACTCTCATCCAAGATCCAGACGTACCTACAACAAATCCACACCCTCGAGTGTTCTTGCTCAGACGTGCTGATCTCAGAGAATATATCAACCCCACCCTCCTCAACAAGGAAAATTTTCAAAGTCTGGGCTCTCTATTGTGCCCAGAAAACAGATAAATTCCACTTCAACAAGTCGGTGGGATTAAGAGTAATTGTGATGGAAAATCAAAGGTATCTAGATTTCCTGAACAAGAAGATGCAAGGAGAAAGAATAAAACGAAAAATGGTTTGGGTGGTTTCCTATCGGGAAATGTTACAAGATGATTAGAAGCGCTTCTTTTCTGGGTCAACATGTAATGATTAATTTAACCATGCAACAAATTAACTGTTAACAGAAAACATGGATAATACCGGTGATACTAGATTTTTAAAAGCAATGCTAAGGAGATTAAATTTGTATATAAAATTTTGAAAATTAAAAGATATGAAAGTTGATGATTGATTTATTACTTACACGTTGATAAACGTGCTTATTCTTATTAATGACACGTCATTTAGTTTGCAAATTTAGTATCCCTAGTATTACTCAATTTTTAAATCAAATTTTGTAAATCAAATGATATGGTTGTTAATGATTGAATTATTACTTAACCGTTAATTAACATGTCTATTTCTTATTCCTGATACATCATTTGATATACAAATATTCAAGTTTATTGGTGACACGTCATTTAGTTTGCAAATTTAGTATCTCTAGCATTACTCAATTTTTAAATCAAATTTTGTAAATTAAATGATATATTTGTTAATGAATGAATTATTACTTAACCGTTAATTAACATGCCTATTTTTTATTCCTGATATATCATTTGATATACAAATGTTCGAGTTTATTAGCCAATCGTACGACTACCATAATGACGTAAATGTTATTGTAATAGTGCATTATCAGTGTGGAATATCATGATAAAAAATCAAAAGTATAGAAAAGTCTTCTTGTGTAACGATATGAACTAATTATGACCAGATTCATTGTAACATCTCATTCTAATAAAAGAATGTAAAGTAAGTTTTCAACAAACGACACTATATTATTTATTTATTTGTTTGTTATAGATATCATTCAAATAAAAGAGTAAGAATTCAAAATTATTATAAAATTAAAAACGATGAAGTTTCAAACTAAGAAGGCATGAAAAAAAACATCAACATTCTATCTACTAAAACATTAAACAAGTTACAAATAAAGGTACATAACTGAATCGATACTACGCTTATCTGTTTTACGTAATTTATTCTTACGTTGAAGTTGATACCAAAATACTTAGCATGCCATTGAGTGTGGAGGTAATGATGCCCCTAACTGTCGTAGGCCTGACCTGAGCTCTTGCTTTTCCTTTTGACACAAGACAGTGACATACCCTTTTACCTTTGTGCGATTGCGTGCAGCTCTGTCTCTTGTTTAAGCAACTTTAAGAAATAAAAATTTGCATAGAAATGGATAAAGTAAGACCAAGTGAGTTGGGAATTTGTGAACCATCAAAGCGGAAAATAGTGAACTTTCCCTTTATCTTTTTGGTTTTTTCCATTTCAATCCCTAGATATACGCTTCGTTTAAGTAACTCAACCAAACCAAACCAAAAGCAAACCCTCTTTCCTTTTTTATTTTTTACTTTTTGCAATAATTTGATGAGTTTTTCAATTAGGAGTTAGGACCACTTGACGCAGGAGCGATCTTCAATGAAAAGAGTAAAGAATCCAACCAAGCAAACTACTTTATTTCATTCCTAACTATTTTTTCCTGTAAGTCCCATTCAAGGGTTTGAGTCTTCAAAATAGTACTGTGTACGAAATACGTTCTCCTGATATTCGTAAAACCGAGAGTCTTGATAGTATACTTATGTCAGGTGCATTATTTACATGTATTTGATATTTAAAGGATATATACTGTAGAGTTTTGAAAATAATGGTATATGGACAAAGTAGAAAATGTGATGAAACTTTTGCAAATAATGGTAAATGCGGTGTCCAAAAGTGAAAAAACCATAATCGTCCAGTCCTCGGAACTGAAACCCTATTTGTCTTGCACCCAACGATTCACCGACTCTGTCCCGACCCTCTCCCCCCACTCACGGGGATTTGTTGCCAACTGTTCACTTTTTTTGTTTTTTTTTGGGGACCCTTTTTCAGTATTTACCATTTGTTACCAACTGTTCAGCATTTTTCTCACCATCATAGTTAATGTATGCTGATCATGTATTTAATCATTTGATCACGTGTTATTTCAGTTAATTTTAGTTAATTTTTTTTTTAAAATTGAAAATGTAATATTTAATGTGAAAGTTAACTAAATTTGAGTAAAATAATACTGACAAATGATGAGGTGTATAATAAACATACACTATAGTTATAAACTTATCATGGTGAACAAAAATGCTCTTCAAATTTTCCCGTTATTTTCAATATTTACTATTGGTGACTTAAGACCTCATAAATACAACTCACTTATAACTCCATATTATTCTTTTCTTTTGTATTAGAAGCAGTATTCTACGTTAAAAAAGTTAAATATATATATATATATATGAACTCAAATTAAAAAAAAAATATTAACCACCAAGATAATACATCAATGACAACTTAATTTAAATAAAACATTTATGCTTTAATAACCAAGTTTGGATATAATATAAATCTTCAGCATTTTAAATAGATGTGTAAATTTATGACAATAAAATTATAATTAAGTTTATAAACACAATTAATAATTGCGGCTACAAAGAAATATTTATTTTGGATGTAGAAAATTTGATCTCATTTCGACACCTATGTTTTTTTACTTACAAAATCCGGTTGTGAAATATTATTTATTAATACCATAATTGAAATACAAATAAAAATGTAATGTTATTTGACAAGGGTGATTATGAATCTGAATAAAAATAGAAATGTGATATTCATACGTCCTTATTTTTTTTTTATATTTTTTTTTTTTTTCAATTATCGAGTCGGATGATTTAAAAAGATAAATTGACAAAAGTTAATAAAAGATGTATTAAAAATAAAAGAAATTTGTGGATAACATATCTCTAAAAATAATGAGGAGAAAGGAGGGGTGCATGTGACAGAGAGAGAAAGAAGCTGTTGAAAGTCAGTCTGTCGAGTCTTTGTTCTTCTGTTTCCATTTCTTTGTAATATTTAACGTTAAATCACATCACATCATTTCTAAATTGTAGCAAAAGACCCATGTGCGTTTCTTTTGTTTGCTTTTGAGGACAATTAAAAAATTCCCAATAAAAAAATAATTAAACAAAATTAAATTAAGAAGCATCTGTTTCCCTCTACTTCCAGCCTTCCTCTGTACCAAGTTGTGGGAGACCAAAAATATAAAATTCACTCACTTTTTATTTGTTATTTTGGTCAAATACACTGCCACTTCCCACCAAACCCCCAACAGCTTAAAGAGTGAGAAGAAAGAGTGAGAAAGTGAACTTTCTTACCATCCAAACAGAATTCTCTGCTTAAAGAGTGAGAATTAAGAGTGAGAAAGTGAACTTTCTTACCAACCAAACAGAATTTTGAAGAATGACCAAAGAAGAAGACTTTAAGCTCCTTAAAATCCAGGTCCTTCTCTATTAACCCACATTCTTGTATATTCGTTTATATTATTGTTTTTATTCCGACAACAAAGTTGGATGTTGGTCTTTTTCTCAAGAATTTTTGTTCTTGTTTTTGTTGTTCTGCTTTGTTACCCTTTCTTTTTTATTTTTGAATTTTTACAGACTTGTGTTCTCAAAGTGAACATTCACTGTGATGGCTGTAAGCAGAAAGTCAAGAAACTCCTTCAGAGAATTGAAGGTACTCACTTCTTTGTGCGTTCTTGTATTTTAATTGGTGACCAACTAAGTGGTTGCTACCACTTTTCTCTTTCCAAATGCATATTATTCAAAGATTTGTTTGGTTACTCAGAAAGTATGCCAGGAAAAGGAGTAAAATTTAAGTAAAAAGATTTGACCTTTGATGAATTTAGGAGTAATTCCAGCACAACTTTCACTTTAGTCACTGAAAAGTGAAAGTATGCAAAAAATACTCTTAACTTTGATGAATGTAGGAGTAATTTTTGCATTGATTTCTCACTTCTTTCTTCGAGATGTGAACTTCACACCTATTTCTCTTAACAGTTTTACCCTGTCCTGCATTTCTAATTCAACCTTCTTCCTTTTCTTGACCTAATTTACCTACAGGTGTTTACCAAGTGAACGTAGATTCTGATCAGCAGAAAGTTACAGTTTCTGGATGTGTGGATTCTGCAACTTTGATCAAGAAATTGCTCAGAGCTGGGAAACATGCTGAGCTCTGGTCCCAGAAATCCAATAACCAAAGCCAGAAGGAAAAGAACAACTGCATCAAAGATGACAAGAACAACAACAACAAAGGGCATAAACAAGGCATCCTCAAAAACCAGCAAAAGTTTCCGTCTTTCAGCTCCGAGGAAGACGATGACTCCCTCGACGATGAGGAAGAAGACGATGAGGACGAGCTGCGGTTTATCCGGGGGATGCTCAGGCAGCAGCAGCAGCAGCAAGCAAATGATGCAAAGAAAAGTGCAGGAGTGATCAATGCAGCAGCTGCTGCGGCTCCCAACAACGTGAAGATGATGAACAATGTTGGAATTGTGAATGCCGGGAAGAAAGGCGGGCATCCGAATGAGAACATGAAGGTGAATCCTGGCGGGATTGATCCAAAAACAATGGCTGCCCTGAAGATGAACGCAGCCCAAATGGGCGGCGGAAACATCAATCCCGGCGAAGCGAAAAGGGGCAACATGAATGACCTGAGTGCGATGATGAATTTAGCAGGTTTTCATGGAAATGGTGGAAATGTTGCTGCAAATGCCGCTGCTTTGGGGGCAAATCCCAATGTTCTTGGAGGGTTTCAGGCTCAGGCAAACCCTAACGCAGCAGGGTTCCCAAGTGGTGGATACTCCACAGGGCAAATTGGTCAATTCCCATCTTCCATGCTGATGAATCCAAATGGGTACGCCCACCCATCACAGATGATGAACATGCAAGCTAGGCAAGCAGCAATGCAGCAGCAGCCACAGATGATGTATCATAGGTCCCCCTTGGTTCCTCCTAGTACTGGCTACTACAATTACAATCCTAGCCCTGGCCCTAGCTTTTACCCTGCAGCCGCCGCGTACCCTTACGGCGGTGAGCCTAATTACGGCAGTAATAACACTGCTGCTCATATGTTCAGTGATGAGAACACTAGCAGCTGTTCGATAATGTAACTTCATCAGCAAGGAAAAACCAAATATGTAGAGGTGTAGGGGAAAGAGAGAATGTCGTTTCAGATGAAGTTCTCTGTATTAATTAGTGGGTTGTTAGGATGTTGGAGTGATTATCACTTGTCTGTGTAATGTATTGTCTAGTTCTTGGGATAATGTTTCCCTCTTGTTTTAGTTCGTGTCTTTGTCGCAGGACTGGCTTTATTCCAACTATCCTAGTGAATCTGCTTTGTTCTTATATTTTCGTATTTGTAGTTTCGTTCTGTTAGTTTTTCAACAGAGAAACTACAAGAAAAGACGTGGAGAACATGAAGTTAACGTGAACAACGTAGGATCGAGTTCAGTGACGTTATACGATTCATGTTGCTTTTATCATTTAGTAATAAGACTTTGTTGTAGTTTTTCTATCAAGATGTACATGAAAATATATTGAAGATTAAACTTAATTGACGGAGTTGACGAGTGCAAGGACGCGATGAAACTCCAATGATGATGCTCAAAGATAAATGATTATGCACACGAAAGTGAAAAACCGATTAAACGATTGACACCATCATTGCATTTTGACCTAAATAATCCATTCTTCTACGGAAGTGATTTCCCAAACATTCTTTATTTTGTATACTCTTGGTTACCTCTAGGTCGAATAATCAAAAGAGTAACGAGACAAAACTAAACAAGATTGTTCAGAAATCGTTATTTCTAAATCATGGGGGTTTGGGTTTTGAGGTTTAGGGTCAGTTGGGAAATTGGATGAAGTTGTTTTTTATGCCAACGGGGGACAAATGTGGCATTGGATGATGCATTTGTGGTCAGGGAGGACTGAGGGGTGTGATGATATTTGTGCAGAGTTGGGAACAGATGGGTTGACAATGTCTAGTGGTGTAAATATATAGTATACGCCAAATGTACCAGATTTGCATGCCTATGTCACGTGCGTCTTTATTTTTATGTGTTATAAAGTTGTCGACCGACAGGACCACAGGGTATTTACAATTCTCACTTGTAGCTTTGTAGGTGGTGCCGATGACTGGTATACAGATTTCATCACATCCAAAACACGTTCGGGTGCTTTTTACAGAAGTTTGGAGAGAACTTCCAGCTTGAATTTTTGTAAACAAAAATTCTTGTAATAAAAACACTTATGAACATAACTGCTTTTTATTAAAGCACTTTCAAACGGACAAAAAATAATTCTACATACAGGCCAATTTCAATTAGAATACGGGGGTGGGGTTTGTATTGTTAAACGGCCTTTGTTGAACTTCGCCCAAAAGGCCAGTTAGAATATTGGGTTGGTTTTCTATCTAAAACCCGACCCGAGGCACATGATCATGACCCAGTCCAGTTAGTTACTAGTACCAAAGTTTTTGAAATAAAACTTCGCATATGGAAGCAAATAAACTAAGTTGAAACACATTATTTTAGGTTACAGATTGGTAAGGTTTCCACCATCAGATACAGTGTTTGAAATTTCTTCGGCACGGTCAGTATTTGTCTAAAAGTATTGGAAAAATCAAAGAATGATATGGACGAGAGTGAAGTCTAAACTTCACCTCATAGATTTCGTTGATATTTCTAAGATATCGTTTAAATATTAGAGAAATACTTTTATTTCATCCAAATCAGTATTTGACATTCTCTAAAATTTCATTTTAAATTATCATAATTTCCATCGAAAACTACCGATATCAAGTTTTCACCATCATATATACATTGGCATAAGTACTTTTACACTGTGGAGGTCCACAAGGCTTGTTAATTCTTCCATTCAAGCACTCAACTCGGACTTACCCCCACTAAACAGATGTAAACTTGTCAAATCATTGAGCACCAAAGAAAATAGGGAAAATTTGAAAGAGATCCAATTTTATAGTCTATATTTTGAAATATGTCCAATTTTTAGTGATTTTTGATTTTTGAAATAGGTCAAATTTTTAGGGCTGATTTGGTATTGCTGTGCTTTGAAAAAAAACTGCTGTAAGAATAAGCGGCTATGCTGTGAGAATAAGCGGTTGTGAAATAAATCAGCAGAGTGTTTGGTAAACTTTTTTGTAAAAGTGATTTTGGAAAAAAAAACAGTCTAATAGTGGGTCTTTTTATTAAAGAAGCACTGTAGCTCCGTGTGCTTTGAAAAAAACCCAGTTTTCCAAAGCTGCAAATAGCAGCTTCAGCTTTTCCTTCGATTTCAGCTTATTCTCACAGCAGCTTCCAAAATAAGCCCTTTTTTTTCAGTTTACCAAACACCTAAAACCCTCACAGCTTTTTTTCATGGGTGCTTTTTTTTTAAGCACCTCACTCCCAAACTAGGTCTTAGTCTAATTGGACCCATATCAAAAGACCCCAAGAAAATAATAGACTGTAAAGATGAGCAACATTCAAAGTTTGAACACATTTATATTGGACAGGATATGTCAAATTAAATTGGACATTAATCATGTCTGTCGTTTGGGATATGGATTCCAAAATATGTGGATTAAGAAACCCAACCCGTTCTTCTACTGAGGCTGAATATCGGTCTTTTGCTCACACTGCCGCTGAAATTACCTGGATCTGCAAGGTTTTCAGAGATTTTGGTTTCCCCTTCACGCTCCAACCTACCATCTGGTGCGACAACATCTCTGCCATTTCACTTGCATCCAACCCTGTTTTTCATGCCCGAACTAAACACGTGGAAATCGATTACCACTATATCAGGGAGCTCGTCCTTGCCAATCTGGTTAAAATTCAGTATGTCTGTAGTCAGGATCAGATTGCATATATTCACACCAAATCTCTGTCTAAACATTGGTTTCTCTTCCTTCAATCCAAGCTCTCTCTTGGAACTCCTAGTCTTTCCAAGCTCAGCTTGAGGGGGTGTAAAGATAAAGATGCCAAGTCATAATAGTTCATATAATTTTAGTTAGAAAATCATTCTTGTTATAACTGTATTATTACATCTGTATAGTTTAGTTAGGTGGTTATGTTTACAGGCTGTCATAGATATTTTGGTACATAGCCTTAACTATATATAGATATCGAAATGTAAGTGTAAAGACGAGTTGTGAAAAGTAAATGAGAAGAGGAATATTAAGATAGAAATCATCTCTCTGTTCTTTAAGTCTCTTTACACCCTTTAAAGAAGTGCAAAAGATGAACCATGTCGAGATGGGGCATTCTCGGTTGTTGCATAAATTGACTGAGAATATGAACTGAAATTGATTGCATCATCGTAATTTTGAGTCGTACACATTGTAAGATGCTAATTCATCCCATAGTGCATTCAATTTTGTGTACTAAATTGAGATTGATTGCTCCTCTTATCTATGTTTGACGATTTCTTTTTTGATCTGTAGATGTGCGAATCGTTTCTTTGTGAGAAACGATCTTGCATGTCTGCCCAGACATTTTCCGCCAATGGGTAATAAGAAATGCTTGCAATGTCATCATGTATTGAATTCAAAATCCACGCAAGGACCATGTCGTTTTGCTATATGGCGATGTGGTGTTTATTTTACGTAAGTGATTTGAATATTCAAAGTCACCAGAAACGATGCTATGATATCATGTTGAAGAATGATATTGTTAGAATTTTTTATGAACGATATAATTCCAAGAGTATGTGGAGAGAATTCTCAATATTGATTTATTTAATTTTTATAATGTAATAAAAGATTTGTACGATATAAGCAAGCTTTTCTAGGAAGTTAACTCTATGAGATATGAATACTTAATTTACACTAATCCGATCTTACAATCAAGAAAAATCAAATATAATAATCGATATTCTTCCATTTAGAAGTGGGAAGGCTTTTGTGGGTCGTGCCATGGTTTTTCTGGGGGAGGATGGAATGATTTGAAAATAAAACAGCGAAAACAAGTATGTGGCTTTTGAGCCAAATTAATGGTCATTTTAATTGTTTTGAAAGTAGGGTTCCCTTCTTGTGAAAAATGTGGCTTCTTCTCTGCCCCAATAGTCAATGTCTGATGACCTGACCATCCTATGAAAAAGAGAGAGAGATTATTTTCTACTTCTAAGAAATTAAGCATGGACATTGAGGAGATTAAGAATATATTTTTAGGACTACTGGATCCACCGTAATGTACTATTTTTTTCACTTATATTATAATCTTACCTATCATAAAAGTTTTTTTTAAAAAAAGGTATTATTTTCTCACACATTATTCCTAAAATATGCTATTTTTCCGCTCACTATTATTTCTGAAAAATTGAAATGCTATTTTTCTAACAGCAAAGTCTCATCCGATATTTACCAGCAAATGAATAACCTTTTAATTGCTCTACTAATGTGAGATTATGTACTCCAATAACAACGATCGATATTTAATCATCATCAGTAGCTAACTTCTTACCTTTAAATTGGAAAGGGTATCCACACATTTTCTTCTTTCTTTCCTCGCCCTTTATGTGTGTGTGTTTTTTTCTTTCAAATTTGGCTTACATATTGTCCTCATTTCACAACCCAAAGTCTAAAGCTCCTGTTGTCTTTTCGCGCCTAACATATTATTATTATATATCTTTTAAGCCACTTATTGCTTTGGTCTAGTGGTATTCCTTTAGTGAAGATAATATCGTTTGTTAAAAAAAAAAAATCAAAGAGTGGGCAAAGAGAAAGACAATGAAGCGGTAACAACATAACTATATTTTTTTTAGGTCAATGAAAAATACAGGGGTTCTACTTCCATTTCATCCATATGGCGGAATGCAGGATCCAGGGGAAGAAGGGACCTACAAGGAATTGCTGTGTATTCTTTAGCCTTTTAACCAATTTTTTCATTTCTCTCTTTAAAATCGTTTCTAAACAAACCGAATAACCAATTACCAATCAAAGGGCTCAGAATGCTGAAAATAATCTTAAAATCGTCCCAAATCGAGGGCTAGGTCAAATGACTCGTGGATCCCACATGGCAAAAAAGGGCCAAAGGACCAACCGATTGGCGATCTTCAGCCAACTAGCTAGCCCACTTTTTTATTTTTTATTTTTATTGTTTTATTTATTTTTTGTTCTTTTCCATTTGGCCAGCTCACTTTAGGGTTTAGGATTTTTTTTTGTCCCAGCCCACTTTTTTTTTTATGCCCAACCCACTTGATTTTTTTATTTATTTCTAATTTGTTCCTACACCATTTCTCACATATTTTTCATCATTCAATACTATCTTAGCTCATTTTATTTTAATTTTTCACATTCCATACTATAGCCTCTTGGCCCTTGGTTGGACATGATTTTTTGTCACAGGGCTATGTTTGGCTTATGACTCTTTGACCCCTCGGTTGGAGATGATAAGAAATATGATCATGCACTGTTAATTAAAATATTAATTTCTTGGAATGCCAGATGTCTAAAACGAGCTCTCTGTCCCTCATTCGGTTGGAGATGATATTACTTTCCCTCTTTCTGCCCTTTTTCCATTATATATATATATATATCCGAGTCCGATGAATCCAACACTTTCAACCAAGAAAACACTGTCCAGTCTTTTAGCCTATAAAACACCGTCCAGTCTTTTAGCCTGTAAAACACCAAAGTCTCTCTTTCACCCTCTTCCTTTCCGCAAAACACCGACTCAGCAAAATCACTTTTCCAATAAGCACTTCTCTCTCTTTCTCTCTCTTGCATGCAACCATAGCTAAACTAGAGAGAGATGGTTACTGTGCAGGGAGTTTTGGTGTTGCTAATAGCTTTTATGGGGGTGCTTTTGGAGACTTCATGGGCGGAAGATCAGCTTGTAAATGTGAGCACGTTGCAGATGTTTGTGGATAAACTTCCCGATATGCCTCTACTGAAAGGCTTTGATGTTGTCAATGGTGTTCCCAAACCCAAGTCATTGAAGATTGGCATGTACATGAAAACATGGGTGAGCAACAATTCGCATTTATTTGATAAATATATATTTTATTATATTTCAAAATTCTATTGTTTTGCCTCTTTCCTACTGTTTAAAAGGGTTTAGATAATTTCTAGCATACAAATAGGCTAGACTGAGTTTGTGGGGAGTAACTTACCCATCCTTGTTGTATATCCACATATCTCTGTTTCTTTTGCTGTGTTTCATGACTAGTAATGTGACGAAAGAGATGATTGACACGATAAAAAAGCACAAATAACAAATGGACATGAAACTAATAGATAATTTTAGTGGGTATGCACGATACATTTTAAAGTCCTTTATGTGTTGCTTGTTACATGTTGAGATCTTCTCCAGATCTTACTTTCCAAGGCTCAAAGACTAAAAAATCCAAGCTACTATTTTGCGTGAGCGGGCAAGTGAAATTGGTAAATGGGGACCGCATGATTCAATGTGGTCCGGATTTTTTTTAATAATTTGCCTTCAAACTGTGAGATTTGGAGAGGGATCTCAACTAGGGATGGGCAAATACCCATTGGTTATGTGGTTACTGCTCCTTTAAATTAAACGGTTACAGTTATGGGTAACCGTTTAGATAAATAAACGGTTATGGGTATAACCGTTTACCTGCGAAATTTAAATAGGCGGTTATGGGTATTAACCGCGGTTATAAACGGGTAACTGTTTACCCATTTATTTTATATATGTAAAACTAACACAAACCATGTTCTCAATCCAATAATACTTAGCACCCAATAAATTAGCAAAGAATTCATCGGTCATTCTCTCAATAACACTGTTACAGGAATGATGATTCTCATCATCAAGGAATTGGCCAAATTAATTTAAATTCCTTGCAGGTAACCATGAAATTGACAAAAATGCTTTGACAAAAATGTCTTCTAAACAATTTTTGTAACCCAATAATACTTAGCAAATATTATATTTACCTTCATTGGTAACAGTTAAAAATATCGTCTGTAAACTATTATTTCAATTATTGGAATGGTATAAGGACTTAAAAAATTAAAATATGGAAATATATGATGAATGTAACTATAACGTTGTTTAATTGTCAAAAAAAAGAGAAAATTATGACAATTTTTTTTTTAATTTTCAAGTTGTTAAAAAACATGTAGACGAGTGAAAAATGGGTAATGGTAAAAAAAAGAAAGATACATATGTTAAAAAAGATAAATGGATAAACGGGTATTAAATGGTTACGGTTAAATGGGTATGCAGTAATGGGTATGGTTAACCGTTTATAAACTGTTAATTAAAAAAAATTAAGAAAATTAAATTTACAAATCAAACGATACGTCACCAACTCACCAATAAAAAAAAAGCACATTAATAAATAAATAATTTATCAATCAATTTTCACGTTACTTCATTTACAAAATTTAATTTAAAATTTTAAACTCGCTTGCATTACCATTTTAATTATGTTTGGACCAAGTAATAATTTAATATGCACAAAAGTTCACCAACCCCATTCCATATGCACACTTGAAAAGCTGGACAGCAACATATATTCCGATGTCGCTTTTCTGGTCATTTTCCCCTCTTATTTTATCAATTTTTGACCCCTTTGTTTGCCCAAGCAATTTTTTTTTATATTTTATTTTCATTCAGAGATTCCACAGAGACCTTCCGGCGACGCCAGTGTTCGCCTACGGTACAAGTGAGCGCACAGCAACAGTCCCTGGTCCAACAATCGAAGCCCTCCAGGGAATCGAAACCTTCGTGACGTGGAGTAATTACCTCCCTTCAGAACACATTCTGCCTTGGGACCCGACCATTCCCACGGCCATACCCGCTAGTAAGAAGGGCGTCCCTACTGTGGTGCACCTCCACGGCGGCATCCATGAACCAGCAAGCGATGGAAGTGCAAAGGCATGGTTCACCGCCGAGTTCAAAGACCGTGGGCCTGCTTGGACCCAGCAAACATATCGATACCGCAATCAGCAACAACCCGGGAACCTGTGGTACCATGATCACACCATGGGGTTGACCAGAGTCAACCTCCTCGCTGGCTTGATCGGGGCCTACATTGTCTGTCAACCGGAAGTCGAGGGCCCGCTTCGACTTCCGAGTGGCGAATTTGATCGAACGCTGGTCGTGTTTGATCGGAGCTTTCGCACCAACGGTTCGATATACATGAATTCTACTGGAAACAATCCCTCCATACACCCGCAATGGCAGCCGGAATATTTTGGTGACGCAATTATAGTGAATGGGAAGGCGTGGCCGCAATTGAAGGTACGACGTCGTAAATACAGGTTCCGAATTATCAACGCCAGCAATGCGAGATTCTTCAAATTCTTCTTCACCAACGGTCTGGGATTTATCCACGTGGGGTCTGATTCAGTTTACCTTGGGAAACCGGTGGAGACCAAGGACTTTTTGCTGGGGCCATCTGAGATCACAGACGTGGTGGTTGACTTTTCCAAGTCTGAGAATGCCAATGTTACCCTAGCCAATGATGCTCCGTATCCTTACCCATCGGGTGATCCCGTTAACGATGCCAACGGTAAGGTCATGCAGTTTTTGATTGCTGACCGTTCAGAGCTAGACCCATCGCGCGTTCCGTCAACGTTAATTCAGTACCCCGTCCCTGATCTATCAAGTGCATCGCGCACACGATACATCACAATGTACGAGTACGAGAGCAACACTGGTGACCCGACACATCTTTATTTGAACGCGAAACCTTTCGACGCACCGGCGACGGAGATTGTGAAAGCAGGGACCAGCGAGGTGTGGAACGTGATCAATCTGACGCAGGACAATCATCCGTTACACATTCACTTGGGACTGTTCGTTGTATTCGAACAGCGGGAGTTGGTGAATGAGGAGGAGTTTAAAGATTGCATGAATAAGCTGAATGATGCCGTCAAGTGCCAAATAAGCAAGTATGCACGTGGCAAAACTGTAGAGGTGCCAGCTCACGAGAAAGGGTGGAAGAACGTTTTCAAGATGAGACCCGGGACTGTGACAAGGATACTGTTGAGGTTGGCTTACATACACTCGAATGCATCGTATGAGTTCGATCCTACGGGGGAGCCTGGCTACGTGTACCATTGCCATGTAAGTATATTAATTAGCCTTCATAATATGGTGAAATTGTTAATATGCATAGGGTTTGACGTGTAATTTTAATTTGTGCAGATCTTGGATCACGAGGATAATGTGATGATGACCCTTGAAACTTGTCCATTGAAAAGGTTTACCGGATACCAAGTGATATACAGTCGGTTCCACAACAAAATCTCTCCAACGAGAGCCACCCGTAGATAAAAGTGTTGGTGCATTTTTAAAATAAAATAAAAAAATTATAATTGTAATTAAGTGTTGTTAATTAAAAAATAAAATGGTGTCATTTTCTCTAACTCTTGTAACTTTTGTCTTGTTAATTTGTGTTTATTACTCTATTCACTAAGGGTGATAATAAATCTATAATTAGTAGCATTTTCTCCAACATAATTTTATTCATTATTTCACTACCCAATTTTCTTTTTCAACAATTATTCTACCATTCCTCCATCTTTCCGTTTTTACTTATTAGTTAAAGAAGGGTGTTCGTGTGGTGTAGTTTTGGACTATTCATTTTTTGCAAATAGATTTGAGTCACATAACAATTCAGTAGGGCTGTTGAATTTTGGTGGGGACAAGGCAAATGATATACTGTTGAACCTGTTCGTGACTTTTGTCAACGCTGTTCCTGTGGACTTTCCGTTAAAAAGGGAGATACCCACTAAAAAAGGGACCTAAGCCACGCCTAAGTCTAATTATCTACGTGCTTCTTAGAAAAATATTACTTTATTGTAATTTTTATCATAATTTCCTCGTAGTTTTCTCAACAATTTTAAGGAGATTCAACTTCATGGAGTCTGTAACTAAGAAGCCGTTCGACAATATTGGAGTTCTCAATATGCCATTCCGTTTCAAGGGAGCTCATTTCAAGAGGTGGAAGGAAAAAAATCCTTTTCTATCTCAATCTTCTCACAGTTGCCTACATTCTCACCGACAAAAATCTAAACATAGAGAGCACGGAGAACATAAATGAAGACGAGCTCTATAACCTTGAAGAAAAAGATCAACAATATGAAAAAGTTCAAATTCACAAATGTTTGTGCCTGTTTAATTATTTCAAAAATGTTGTTCAATTAGTCTTAATAATACGGTGAAATTGTTAATACTAATACGGTTTGACGTGTAATTTTAATTTGTTGTCTATTTTGTGCACATACCTTAAAAATTGTCCTTTGAGAAGGTCTACTGGGCACGAGAAATTTCTGAATACAAAGTGATACATAGAAAGTAATGCATCAACTGTGAGAGCGGCCTATTTAGATTTGTTCCAAAGGGAGAAGTGGGAAGACTTTTGGGGGTGATGTGATGGTTTTCTACTTTGTACGTGGGGGGAGGATGGATGATTCGAAATTGAAACAAGTGAAAACAAACAAGTACTCACTTGACTTGGGCCAAATTATTGGTCCCTTGTTGTGCAATATGTGGTTTCATCTCTCCCATGGTAGTCAATGCCTGATCATCCTAGAAATATCAGACACTACTAGAACCTTGAAAAGTCTCGACTGTTTTCGAACAAGTGTGTAAAATTACTTACTAAAATTATTCATAAAATCGTATGCAATGCAAATCCTTTTATATCTATAATTCATTATTTTACGGAATCTCTTTTGGTTACTTATTCAAATTTCATATCAACATTGTCGTTATTTTTATTTAATTGCCTCAAACAAATAGCATAATTTTTTTCATTTTTCCTCTTTTACTTCCAAGGGGCAGTGCATTGCACTCTGATTATTTTCTTTTATTTATTTATTTAAAAAAAATGTTATTATTAAAAAGAGGGATAGAGTTCAAGATTATTTCAATAATTTAAAAGATGATTTTCAAACTTGGAACGCATGTGTGGAGATCCACCATCCTAGCAACTAGAATATTAGACTATCAACATTGTCGTTATTTTTATTTAATGGCCTCAAACAAATAGCATAATTTTTTTCATTTTTCCTCTTTTACTTCCAAGGGGCAGTGCATTGCACTCTGATTATTTTCTTTTATTTATTTATTTTAAAAAAATGTTATTATTAAAAAGAGGGATAGAGTTCAAGATTATTTCAATAATTTAAAAAAAGATTTTCAAACTCGGAACGCATGTGTGGAGATCCACCATCCTAGCAACTAGAATATTAGACTATCAACATTGTCGTTATTTTTATTTAATTGCCTCAAACAAATAGCATAATTTTTTTCATTTTTCCTCTTTTACTTCCAAGGGGCAGTGCATTGCACTCTGATTATTTTCTTTTATTTATTTATTTTAAAAAAAATGTTATTATTAAAAAGAGGGATAGAGTTCAAGATTATTTCAATAATTTAGAAGAAGATTTTCAAACTCGGAACACATGTGTGGAGATCCACCATCCTAGCAACGAGTATATTAGACAAAAAAATCATCTTTATATAGTAAAGGAACTAACCCGAACATCCTAAACAAGATTATCAACATGTATTCTTTAGGGGCTCTTTGCCTTGGTCGTCATCATCTTCATGCAAAAATAACATCATTGATTTGATTGAAAAAAAAAAACGTAATACAACTGAAAAGGTCAGTAATTAACATAGGCTCCAATGCTTACGGTCCATCATGTGTTAGAATATCATCGGACAAAATAAAAAAGTACTGAAGTATTAATTTTTATTTTATATAGAACACCATGCATTGCATTTGTGATGTAAAGAAATGAACCCGAAAGGAATTTTTTTAGCTTTTTATAGAAGTATCAGACTGAACCACTTAATTACATGACAATATTTGATTGATTCAAATTCAAGTTTTACTTTATATTCTATTTATTACTTCTTTTTCAACAAATGATATTATTTATACTATAAGATAGGAGAGTAGGCTAAGTCTCACAATGAGCAAGTAATAATGTGGTTCGAGCAAGCAGTAATGTGGTTCAAATTCATCACACTATAGGGTGGGAGAGTAGACTAAGTCTCAAAATGGGCAAACAATAATGTGATTCAAGCAAACAGTAATGTGGTTTAAATTCTCCTTTAGCGAGATTCGAACTTAAGACCTCTCACTTACAAGTGAAGATGAATATCACTGGATTGTAAATAATAAGTGGCTATTCTATTTATTACTATTACGCAAGGTGTTGACACATTTTTAGTGAATAAAGTTGGGAAATTGTTATTAGCGCTTCAAAATTTTCATTTGACACTCCAAACTTTCTATAATTAGAAAGAAAAATACAATTGTGAGAAGTGTAGAATGAAATTTTTTGAGTGATAATAACAATTCCCAAATTTAATTATTAACAAATAAAAAGTCCACAAAAAAAAAGGGAAATATTATAAGAAATTAAGGGTGGACAGTGAAGATATTTTTTAGGTCATACATGGACAAAAATGAATGGAGAAGGGAGAATCCAAAGGGGAGGCAGGGACCTACAAGGAAATGCAGTGTTTTCTTTAACCTTTTAACCAATTTTGTAGTTTCTCTCTTTAAAAGCATATCCAAACGAACCAAATTGGCGAAATGGTCTCTTCTTTTCTTCTCTTTTTCCAATATATTATGAGTCCGACGAATTGCACACTTTCAAACAAGAAAACGTTGTTCAAACAAGTTAGTCGCGTGTGAAACTCAACGGTCACATGTGTTTCACGTCATTAATTTTGTGTTGTTTATGTATTTCGTTTGAAAAGTGTACGAATCAGAGTAAGAGTTTTACATGTGAAAAGAGAAACCTTTCAGATAAACCTTGCAAAGACTTATATACTCTTCTTATTGCCACACAAACTCAATTTTCTTTACTTTTAAGCCTCTAAAACACCAGAGTCTCTCAACTCTCAACCTCTTCCTTTCCGCAAAACACCAACTCAGAAAATTACTTTTCCAATAAGCACCTCTCTCTCTCTCTCTCTCTCGCATGCAACCACAGAGAGAGAGATGATTAGGGCGCAGAGAGTTTTGGTGTTTTTAATAGCTTTTCTGGGGTTGCTTTTGAAGACTTCATCGGCGGAAGAGCAGCTTGTAAATCTGACCAGGCTGCAGATGTTTGTGGATGAACTTCCCAATATGCCCCTGCTCAAAGGCTTTGATGTTGTCAATAGTGTTCCCAAACCCAAGTCATTGAAGATTGGCATGTACATGAAAAAATGGGTAAGCAACAATTCGCATATATTCGCTCAATATTTTATATCAAAATTCTTTTGTTCTGCCTTTGGTTTTGATTATTTCTAGGACAACAATTAGGCTAGACTGAGTTTGCGTGGAATAATTTACTCATCCTTCTTATTCTGTACCCACATATCTCTGCTTCTTTTGTTCTATTTCATGACTAGTAGTTAAAAGATTTAGACATAAAATTGAGTACAGTAGCGTTTTAAAGTTTATACAATCAATTATACTTAGTAGATAAGACTTTATTTTTATTACTTGTAGGATCGGACAAAGTAATAATTTAAGACATTGTTGGCATACTGTATAAGATCATTTGGCATACTGTATTAAATCCAGATCCATTTATTTTAGAGAACTTTAACAACAAAAATTCTGATACTGTTCACTTTAACGAAAAATCATATTTTACATTAAAATATTAATTCTAATATTATTTATTTTATCTTTTATTTTGTAAGTTTTTAACATTTTCATTAGTTTCTTTTATTTTATACACCTCCCACCCGTTTATTTAACCCAACCAAAACCTTTGGATAAATAGTCGGGAGAATGTCTCTCGCTTACTCCGTCCCTCTCTCTCGCTCACTTCGTCCCTCTCCTTCTTTCGCAGCACTCTCCTTCCACTCTCTCACATCGCCTGCTCTCTCTTGTCTGGATCCCATGTTCATCTTCGCCTTCTTCTTCTTTTCTCTCTCTGTTCCTCCCTTCTCCTTACACACGCACACACACCTCCCACCTCCTCCGTTCGCCTTCGATCTTTGACAAGTGACAACAAAACCTTCCATGGGTTGAACGAGGAAGACGATGATTCGAATTCTTCCGATCTGGGCTCTGACGAGGAAGGGAGCCGAGCTCCGACGAGGACGGGGATAGCAATTTGGATCTGGGCTCCGACGAGGAGCCTGTTGGTTTATTACCATTGAAAATATTCAATCTGGGATTTTTATTTTGGTTGGTGAATCGATGAGTGGGTTCGTATGGAGGGTGGGATTTGATGAGTGGGGGAAGACGGTGAAGACTGGGTAGAGACCTGGGTTTTTTTTCCTTCCTCATTAATTTTTATTTTTTAAATTTTGTCTGTGTAATGATGTTTTATTTATTTATTTACTATTTTTTTTAACATTTTAACAACAATTATTCTTTGAAATTATTTAAAAAAAAATTATAATCCAACGTATTATTCGTATTATTTAATGATTATTTA